TTCTGGTGTTCATTTATTCGCAGTACGTTTTTATCCCCCTTAAAATTTGGTACCTTACATGATAACAGATAGGCTTATCAATTCACTCGTGTATATTGCAGTAGGAAGTAAACTAAATCAGATAATAAAGGAAAGACATGGTCTCTGAATTGTCATCTGTGTTATCAAAAGTTGATATTGGACTAATTGTAGTGACAGAGGAGTGTATTGAAAATATAATGGGATTTATAATTAAGTTTTCCATTCAAAATTATTGACAATAATAACCAATTTATATGCTGGATATAAATGATGGTCTCAAAATGAAAGAAAATATATTAAATACTTTGAGGAGTTTAAAATATATAAATACACAAAATTAAGGACAGCACAAAATTTTTAAGTGAAACACTCAATTAATTATGAATCCCATTATATTTTCAACACTCTTCTCAGTCACTACAATAGTCCAATATCAGCTGTTAAAAACACAGACAACAATCCAGAGACCATGTCTTTCCTTTATTATCTGATTCAGTTTACTTCCAGTCCTATAATATACACATGTGAATTGATAGACTTATCTGTAATCATTACGTGTTTTTGTGTTAAATGTTTGTAACATATTCTGATGACACCTCCAGAAGTGGATCTTTTGTACTATAAATCCTAACAATGGTGGAGTTAAAGAACTGCCAAAACATATGTAGCAAGTAAAATTCAACACTGGTATATTAAGGATTGTCTGACAAGGTGCATTTTTACCATTCTTAGAAACAATCTTAATTACAAACCACATAATGTTGTTGGTGTTGATAGTGAGCTACTTAGAAACACTTGTTCAGGCTGCTTATAAAAAATTATACATTAATTATGACAGCTAGCAAAAATATATCCCCCCAAAAATCCCCTAAAAAAGTCCTCCACAAATATTATTGTGGTATCATATGAACATAAAAAATATAACTGTCCATAATAATGATAGTCAGGGATTACCCTAGTGTAAAAACATCATCCATTTAAATTCATACATATATGTCCATTAGCACAATAACTCAAACAAAAATTATCCAATTTTGATGAAATTTGGTGTAAACATACATTTATTTGAACAAGTCCATGAACCAGCATAATCTAACCATGGAAACAAGGATTTATTTATAAGGTAAAAATTGTTTTTCTTGTTTTTGACCCTCAAAACTTAAATTTTCTCAAATTTTCTCTAGACTATTTTAAAGAGCTAAAAAGAAAATAAATAATTTAGTATATTTTCTGTATGATTTTTAGTTATGGAAAAAATTGTAAATTAAAAATTATAATGTTATTCATATGAAGAATGAATAAACTGTTGTACTTTGTTTATTTATAGATATATATGGATTAAACTTGGTAAATTTATTTACTTTGTACTAAGCTATTAATGTTTTATTAAAACCACACTTTTTACCCTCCCTTTAGGTAGTAAACCTAGGTACTTGTTAAACCTAATGTTGTTTAAATAGATTGAATTAAAAATCAAATCAGGCAAATGGAAATTCGCTTAGTCTGTAGATTTGCTATAGCAGGGGTATATTATTATTGTAAATAATAATTTGATAAAGGTTTTTATGTTTATACATTTAACATTGTATAACTTAATTTAAATGTTGTTAAGAATTTAAACTTTCGAAATAATTGCTGGGTAACAGCTAGTTATAATTATTTGTAAACATTAGCCCACTTAAAAACTTTAAAGATAGAGCCCTTTTGACAGATTTGTACCAAGCTCACTAGCTCACACAAACTATCCTAATCCTATATTAAAATTAATAATATAAATTATTATAAAACGTACCTTCAATATTGATGTATGGCACAGACACTAGGGATAACTAGACACAACAATATGGCACAATAACAATAGGCACTCAATATGTAGAAACTCACTATATAACAACCACTAGTTAAATATTGCTATCCTCAAGACATAGGGGCTTTAAATAGTATTCTCCCACTCATTTAAAATTGAATTGCTTCCCCCTCTCTTAATAACAATGCATGCCTTACCAACCTCTGATGTATTCAATTATTCTGTTAAAAAGTTTTTATCTTATAATATCTCAATTAAAATTTATCAAATTTTGATGAAGTTTGTCATAAACATATTTACCTACATTTATCTAAACAAGTTATATTTTATATATTTATAAAAGAGGAAGTTTGTATATATATGTTTGAACGTTATGAACTCCAAAACCGCTTGACAGATTGTAATGAAACTTTCAGGCATTATTAAGCATTATTCAAGGATGGTTTGTGTGATGTTTGGTGCAGATCCATCAAAAGGGCTCCGCCTCAGTGGCTCTGGAGTTTCCCATGTTAACCTTATGAGCACTCATATTTAAATGGAATTAAAGAATCTTAACAGCTGTTTCAACTAAAAAATTTGATTCTGTGATGATCAATAACATTAAAAGGTTATAAAATGTACCAACAGGATGCAACACTATTGATTGTCTAAATTTTTAACATCATTAGCTATAATAAAATAGGAAGTTTGTTTGATAAATAATTTTTGATAGAGTGTGAATAAGGAGTTTTAATTTTTAAGTGCATATCTTATTGACTTTCTTTTTCTCAAATCTTTATAAAAATCAATTTTTGTTTGTATGGTTTATTTCCCAAAAAATAATGTCTGGGAAACGAAAGTTTACAGTTAATATTTGTAAGTTAATACTTTTAGTGATCAGAGGAGATGAAGTGTTTTTATTTACTTCACTCTCCCTTTTGAGGAACTGGGACTACTTCTTAATCTTATTCTATATGACAGTGACGGGAATAATTACCTCAATTCCAGGGAATACTTCTATTAAATGTCGAAGCCGTTTGCCTTTAATAGGTTGTAGCTTCACAACTATTCAAATTTGTTTTTGAGGTTTATTGGAATAGTGTAAATTATATGCCAAGTTTAGTGATGAACATGTTGATGAACATGAAAAGACTCAAATTGACACAATTCCTGTCTAGCAGGCACTTCAACATTTTAGAGCCACAAAAAAGCCTGTTTCTCCCAATCGTTAGTCGATTCCAGAATCTTAACAAAATACAATAAGGCGTAAACGACATAGCAAGTGCACAGACAAACAAAGGAAAAACCAGGTGAAGAACATAAACAAAAGGTATTATAAATTAACTCATCCTGAAATATATTTTCCAAAGATTCAATGGATGGTGAAACATCTATCAATAATGACATATAATCCGAAAATAGAATATGAAGGAAATAGCTTGGTGGTGATAGCTACCATGACGTTCAAATAATGTAGGCCTAAGTACTGCGAGGCCTTAAAATGGAAAGAAGAAACACAGGGCATGTGCAGCAATGGGGGTAAAGTTCAACTACTGTACTATCTTTGCAGCACCTACCTGAACCTTTATGCAGTTTGGTCATGGAAAACCACCCTGAGCATACACATTTTATGGACCGGGTGAGACATTATAATAGCTGCTTTAATATAGAGCAAAAAAGATTTATAATATCTACTTAACAATTTTTTGCTGATTTCAAGATGTTATATCATTCTTGTATCGCTTCTACAACAAACCTAAGATTAGTAAAACATGTTGTATCGCTTAATTAATGTTTATACTTGTTCTATAATATTATGGCTGTACTATAAACATTACATACTATGGCAGGTCAATACAGTGTGTAGTTAGCATAATTAAAAGTCTAACTGTAGACGTTATACTAGGTTTAAACTCTTTACATCAATTAGTCCCAAGTATATAAAACTTTTTTAGACTGTTAAAAGTCCAGAATACAACACAAAGCAACAAACTTAATAGTTTCAATTGAAGAACTTAAAAATGAACAAAACAAGAAATTAGAAAAAAATAGACTTTTTATCAAGGTTCCTGGTCAGACTACCGTTATCTCTTATGTCATTCAGCCTAAATTAGATATTGTGCAGGTTAAATAAATGTACTATTCTCCCCGTGATGACATAAATATTGCATGGTTAGATCAATAAGAGTACCTGGGGACTGAGCTTTACTCGGGAAAAATCATTAGTTTACTCTGAAAACAGTCTTTGTATTGCAGATACATGGATCTATTTCCTACACTCCACACTGCTAGCCTTTACTAATTCTTTCACAATTTCCTGTGTTGTGGACATGTTTCCATCCCTTCTCATAGAATTTCAGTATTGTAGATACTTATTCTAACTACTACAAACTGTTTCCAGTTCCCACACTCTGGACTGCTCACCTTTTCTACTTCCTTCACCCCTTCCTAAGTCACAGACCTGTTTCCCTCCCATTCTATAGCATTTTAGGATTACAGATACATTAATCCATTCCCACACTCAATACTGTTCACCTTTACTACTTCCTTCACCACCCCCTACGTCTTGGACCTGTTTCCCTCTAGTTCTCTCTGTTTCCCATAGCATTTTAGGATTGCAGATACATTAATATAATTGCCAAAGACAATTCCCACACTCTGCACTGCTAGCCTTACTACTTGCTTTGTCATTTCCTTTGTCATAGACCTGTTTTACTCCCTTCCCATAACATTTTTAGATTATAGATACCTTAATCTAATCCTCATAAATAGTTCTCACACTATGGACTGCTCGCCTTTACTATTTCCTTCATCACTTCCTACGTCACAGACCTGTTTCCTTCCCTTCCTATAGCATTTAAGGATTGCAGATACCATAATCTAATCATCATAAACAGATCCCACACTCTACACTGCTACCCTTAACTACACTGTATAGAGTAATCTTCAGTATAATCTTTACTCAATAGTAACAACTGATGTTTTTCCTTTTGTACTGTATTTTTAATTTGCTAGTTACTGTGAATAGACAACTTACAAGTTTTTTGTTTACTATTGCCTTGTTATTTATTCAGCCAAGATGGTAGCTTAGCAACTCATAAGACTAATATTAACAAATATGACTTTCAGTTTCATTTTTTTACATAATTAGATTTTTGTTGGCAGTTTTTAACTATAGTAAACTTGTTTTTAGGCCAGGAATAAACTATATTCAACATTTAAAGAAAATCATTGGAGTCATTTTCAAGATCTTGGTACAAGCAAGTAAGTAAGCAAGTATACATACATATAAGTAAACATTGCTTGTATTAAAGTATAGGATAATCAAAAACTATCTGTAAGTTCATAGAGTACTCTCTTATTACTTAAGAAACCTTCAGGTAAATATCATATCATTTAGGACCTTAGAATTGTAAATAAATATATAATTTCTGACACTTATCTAATTCTCTACATACACTGAATAATTAAAAAAAATAATTTATTGAAGTCTTGCTAGTTCAATTAAAAAAAGCTATATTACATGATAATCATTTCATGGAAATAGATTGAACTTTATATGAAGATGAATTTAGTGAGACAGTTCTTGAGTTCTATTATTTTAACCTTGAAAACAGTTAACTGTAATTGGTCAGACTGGGTCTCTGTCCTTAAACAGAACAGTTGACCTAACTAACATATGACTCAAGTTAGTTGAAGCCTAACGTCATCAATTGTCTACAATTGAAGCATCATGTGGTCAATTGAAGCATCACTTAGAGATGGGAATTATCGTTCACTTGGTGGAGTCGTTCACTCCGGAGTTATTGAGCTATCGGAACTAGTTCCGCGGAGTAGTTCCAACTCCGTTTAGAAGAACACTGAACACTGGACTTTCGGAGTGAGGAGCGCTTCCACTCACTCACCATCCATTTTGGTTCAGAACTAGATAGTTCCAGTCCATCGTTCCTCTTCGCATCACCTCTGGATGATAGTTCCTGGTTCCATTCCAGTAATCATTATTAAACAAGGAATAAATAAATAATGATTAAGCTAGGCTAGGATGATAGGACCATAGTTAGTGGAGTGAGGAATGACGAAACAGTAGGGCAGTGAGTGAGTCGTTCCAGTCGTATTCTTGTGATGCTTGGTGTTCTGCTGCTCCCCTCTCACCTCTCATTAGTCGATTACTGTATATTTTAGCCTACATTCATTTTAAACAGATTTTTTTTTTAATTTCAAATATTTATTTACTACAACAATCTCTAATTTATTACATAATGTATCTTAACCAATGACGGTCTCTTGACTATCTTTAGTTCCTAGAGGAACTAACTCCGATGCAAGAGCTGGAGTTGGACTTGTCGTTCCAGAGTCAGAGTAGTTCTTTCGGAGTAGTTCGTTCCGGAGTTACTCACCTCTGATCACATCATCAGTCCACTAGAAAACTCCAAACCAGATGGTAAGTTTTAGACCTAGATATTTTATAATGTATAGTTTATATTTTTTAAATAAACCTAAAAATTTTTATACATATAAATCTTTAATTAAAGCCAGACTCCTTTGATAAGTTAAACTGCTAATCTTTTTTTAAGTTCAACTTCTTTTAATTGTACAGAATTATAGATAACTAGTGTACATGTTGCTCGAATTCGAGCAATTGCAAAGTATTACAGGAGTTATTTCAAAACGAATAACAGTCATATTTACAATGAGTTTAAAAGAGTCAACTCAAAGATTACCGGCATGTAACTCAGAACACGATTATCTTCGTTATTGATAAACCTAAAGAATTCCGGCTGGATTTCTTCTTCTCAAAATGCCTTGATGTACAGGCAACACAGGTCATTGATAGATGCCCAATTGAAAACGAAAAGTCGTTTTGGATTAGTGTTAGGGTTCATTTGTAACCTAATAGTTGAGATTTGTAGTCAGGTGCTGACTGTGATGAGTTAAGCCTATTACGCGCCACTGTTCTGTAGCTGCAGTCGTTATCACGATTATGCCTCCTGTCTACGTTTCGTTGTTGTCGCGTCAGAGGCATTTAAAAGAAAAAAAAAACAACAAATAAACAAATTATAGCTACACAAAATAATGATAAATTCAGAAATTTAAGTTACAATCGTGCTAACATGACCCGTCGTAGCGGCACAAAACGACAATAAATATACAAATTTAAGATACAACCATACTAACACGATCCGTCTTGGGGGTTATGTTTATACAAACTCAAATAATAAATATTGAATTGAAAAATAAATGAACAACAATTAAATTATACAGCTGATCAAAATGTAAACAATTATGTTCTTTATAAAGATAACATGGGAACTTTCAAAGCCACTTGGGCAGAGTCCAAGGGACTTTTTCAAAAATGTAAGTCCAGTTTGCAAATCTACGCAACATGCTCTTTCCAATGAGACGTCAACAGATAAAATCGGTTAAGTAATGGCGGAGGAGTTTAACCGACAAAATTTCATGTAGCGTATTAATTATATAGATTCTAACACTATAAATAATTCTTAGTCTTTCTTAGATGACTATAGTTTCAGGAAATATCTTCTGTCTTATAATATTACATTTGGATTACTCATTTGCCAGTAAATTCTGCAATGTAATTGGATTTTAAAAATAAATTGAAGTTTTAGCTTTTAATTATTGTTTAAATAATATGGGATTACTGTAGTAAGTTTTAAATGCAACAATTTCAATGTCAATGACTACATTCTTTATATAGGAGTTCATTAAGTTGTATACAATTAAGCCTTAAATAACAATGACTTATCTTTGTTTATTTTATCTTGACTTATCTTTACCTTGTATGTTTGTAGATCTGGGTGTAATTTCTATACACTTTTTCATCGAGTATGAGGAACACTTCAATTCTTACCTAGGCAGCATAGAGAAGATACAGCTCGTACAGGTTACCTGAGGTTTTGATGGTGTACAGAGTCTATGACAGACCTCAACATCCTGTCGACTAACCAGATTCATCCGTAAGTAATTTCTATTTAAATTTGGTAATAGTAATTGATTAATATAACATGATATCTTCTACATACAACATCAGAATACAGATATTCAATACATTAAAATACATTTGATACAAATATCAATACAAGGACCGCAAAATATCATTATTTTGTATCAATATGTGGGACATGTATTTTCAACTATGTTTTGCAAATAACCTCAAAACTAGGACCACCATTAATGGAAGTGGGGACCCTCATTATCCATATTATACTATTTAATGTGTAAGTAGCATACCCACCCAGGGACATATTTCCGAATAGGCGGACTAAGCGCCTGCCTAGGGCAGCAAATTTTAGGGACGGCAAAACTTTGAGGGTAAAAAAATAAAAAAACAAAGTTTTAATCTTAAAAAAAATTTAGCAAATAATCTTGGGAACAGCAAAATAGCCATTTCAAATATTTATTTAGTTTATCACACAGCTGTGTAGAGTTGTCCGTGCTGCCCTATTGGTCTGGTGGACATGCTTGCCGTGGGAGCAGGTTGCCATGCCGGCCGCTATGTAGTGATAAACGTAGAAAACACTCCCTTCTGTTTACTTCATACACCACTATGCAGCGGCAGCACTATAGCTGAAAGATTCTTTTGCTAGGTTAAAATCAAGAAGGAAAGTGTGAACTAAATACTTACCACTGTACCAAACTTAACTAACTTAAAATTATTTAATATTCTTTTAGTAAAAGTACGTAATTTTTCTTTGCGATTCATGTGTTTTTTGTAAGAAAAAAATAGTTTAAGAATACATATTTCTTTCATTTCAAATCAAAGCCAATAGCATGTCTCTCAAGTGGATCTGACTAATAGTGTTCAATGAAAAGCGTAATAAGAACCATTGTATACAGATGATTTTGTGTGCCGTTTAAAGCTGTAAAATGGGATTGTAAAAATACTGATTAGATAAAAAAAAATGGTGCCTTCTATGTAGGCCTATCCAAGTCAGAATGTTTTGCAAAAAATCGGCACAAAAAACGTCCGTTAAAAGGGGTTGAAATAGTATATTTCATACCTAGGGCTGAAAATGAGGTTTCGCTGGCTTGAGATAGTTTTTAGGTTTGAGACGAAGTCAACCTAAAACGATCAAGAGCTGCAAAACCATTTCGGTCCATGGTATGAACACCATTTTCCACACTATACCTTAATAGCACGAGCTTAATTCACCACAATAATGATGCACACTGATAGTCAACACAACTAGAACTTTAAAGGTTATGTGAAGAAATAATTTGAGGAATCAACAAAAATTAAAATAAATAGTTGCTAGGCAGCGGTGACAATAAAACAATTCTATTGCAATGCTATGGATACTGATTGTGTATTTAATATGCATTCATGTTTAAAAAAGTAAGTGATCAGCTGATTTTGTGGCCCTAGGGATGTAAGAACCGGCTCGGTCCCCAAATGACGATGACAGCTGGCATGGCCAGCAAAATATAACTTTCAGCCACCAATTAACACATATAAAACAGCTAAAAACATCATAGTGTGGTGAAAAGTCATTAAATTTGTTGATGCCGCATGCATTATTACCGATTATTTTACCACAAAACCAGCTGACAGGGCATGTATTGGCCATTGGGGTGATATTAGTGAGGTCGGGGAGTGCGTTTAAAAGTGGGAGCGGGAGGGGTGGCGGCAAACTTTGTTGCCTAGAGGCAGCAGATATTTAAATACATCCCTGTACCCACCATCATTATTAGTACTTTTTTGTTCAATTAATTATCCCTGCATAAAAACTAGGAAAACAATAACAAAATGATTTCTAATTTTAAGGGTTTACTAGAATTTGAAGGTTATATATGTATGTTTGATATAAATAAAAAGACACAGGAAGGAAATGGCTTTTCTAAGGTAAGATTACAAACACTAACCCTTTTTACAAGCTTGTAAGTAACATAATATTTGTCTATGCAGCTTGTATATTTGAGATATATAAATAAAAAAAAAATAAAAATAAACAATATGATATTTTGTTTGATACAGATAAAAATCAATACATGAGGATATTATATGATACACATATCAATACACCACATTCTGATATGTATCAATACTGCATATTGATACATTGACCTGTATCACACATCACTACTGCATACAGTAAACACAGAGGATATGTGTCTACTCTAGTAACCAGATGTGGATTAGGTGTCCAGTATTGATATCACCGGGTTGTGGGGTCCCAAAATGCCATTACCACAATGATATGATGATTGGCCAGCTTTGTTTGTGGTGTAGTGGATAGAGTGATTGGCTGATATCCAAGAGGTCCCTGGTTCGAAACACATTGGTTACTTTAACTTTTTGTCACAGATTTTATTTCAAATGTAATTTCTTCTGAACTGTACATCTTTTGTTAGAATTTTTGGCATTTATAATTTTATGTTATGAAGAGAATTGAACCTTCATTTGATTTTTTTCATTATCAGCAAGTTTGGTTGGTTAGGTTAGGTTATGACAGTAACTGCTGGACACCTAATCCACGTCCTGTTACCGGATGTGTATCCTCTGTATACAGTAAAACTGCAGCATTAATCATTTATAGTACTTGATTAGGGATAATGTTAGACTTTTTAGTTATGTTAAAGTTGAAATATATTATTTTCAAGATTAAAGAAATGATTCAAAATTAAATAAAAATCTTCTTTGTTTTGATTTTATACTTTTTTGTAAATTTACTTATTTTATTAAAAAAAATTACAATAAACTGGGTAGGGGGGATTTAAAAGTTTTAATCAAGAACTAAGTTTATCTCAACATACCATTTTTGTCTTTTCTTATTTGATGATAGACAATTTCCACTACTACTGTATTTCACTCACTCTTTTTTATTATCCCACCTAATCATTTACTTGTGATGTTATTACAGGAAACTTTCGAGTCAGTGAGTTACTATGGCTGAACGTTGGCTGAACATCGTAGTTCTACTGATAGAGATTACTAAATAGATAAGTATTACAATCATGTGATGAAAATTTTTATATTGAGTAGATATTATTAGAAATTTATTGTTTTAATCACGGAATATATATAGCCTACTGTCTGATATAGATTAATCCTTGAACTAAAATATAAAATTATAGTTGAGATTGTTCAGGGTCAGGTGTTAACTACAGTAAACTTATTTCATGCCACTGTCATTATCACGATTACATGTCTTCTCTATATTTTGTTATCATCGGAGACATTTAAAAGAAAAAATAAACAATAAATAAACAAATCATAGCTACACAAAACAACAACAAATGCACAAATTTAAGTTACAATCATTGAAAATAACAGTAATTAAACACTTGAGATCCAGTGCTTGGTCTATCATATCAATGCCGTTTGTCATTTACAGTGATTCTCAGACAGATGCCTAGTGTCATGTACAACTTAAACTTATAGTGAAGTACCAATTATTGGGAAACTATATTTTGAGTTAGTACATGCCTAGAAGACCAGGGTCCCAGTGGAAAATACACAAAAAAAAAGTCAGTACCTTGATGTTGGACCGCCTAAATGGCCAGTACATGCAGTGGGAAGACTTTAAAGTGTGTTAGTACACGCCTGTGTCTTTTGCTATACTCTGTGAATCACTGTTAATGACAAACTGAATTGATTACATAGACCCAGCAAAATTACAAAGCCAAATGTTACCAAAATACAGTAAAACTGCAACATTAATCATTTATAGTACTTGATTAGGGATAATGTTAGACTTTTTAGTTATGTTAAAGTTGAAATATATTATTTTCAAGATTAAAGAAATGATTCAAAATTAAATAAAAATCTTCTTTGTTTTGATTTTATACTTTTTTGTAAATTTACTTATTTTATTAAAAAAAATTACAATAAACTAGGTAGGGGGGATTTAAAAGTTTTAATCAAGAACTAAGTTTATCTCAACATACCATTTTTGTCTTTTCTTATTTGATGATAGACAATTTCCACTACTACTGTATTTCACTCACTCTTTTTTATTATCCCACCTAATCATTTACTTGTGATGTTATTACAGGAAACTTTCGAGTCAGTGAGTTACTATGGCTGAACGTTGGCTGAACATCGTAGTTCTACTGATAGAGATTACTAAATAGATAAGTATTACAATCATGTGATGAAAATTTTTATATTGAGTAGATATTATTAGAAATTTATTGTTTTAATCACGGAATATATATAGCCTACTGTCTGATATAGATTAATCCTTGAACTAAAATATAAAATTATAGTTGAGATTGTTCAGGGTCAGGTGTTAACTACAGTAAACTTATTTCATGCCACTGTCATTATCACGATTACATGTCTTCTCTATATTTTGTTATCATCGGAGACATTTAAAAGAAAAAATAAACAATAAATAAACAAATCATAGCTACACAAAACAACAACAAATGCACAAATTTAAGTTACAATCATTGAAAATAACAGTAATTAAACACTTGAGATCCAGTGCTTGGTCTATCATATCAATGCCGTTTGTCATTTACAGTGATTCTCAGACAGATGCCTAGTGTCATGTACAACTTAAACTTATAGTGAAGTACCAATTATTGGGAAACTATATTTTGAGTTAGTACATGCCTAGAAGACCAGGGTCCCAGTGGAAAATACACAAAAAAAAAGTCAGTACCTTGATGTTGGACCGCCTAAATGGCCAGTACATGCAGTGGGAAGACTTTAAAGTGTGTTAGTACACGCCTGTGTCTTTTGCTATACTCTGTGAATCACTGTTAATGACAAACTGAATTGATTACATAGACCCAGCAAAATTACAAAGCCAAATGTTACCAAAATACAGTAAAACTGCAACATTAATCATTTATAGTACTTGATTAGGGATAATGTTAGACTTTTTAGTTATGTTAAAGTTGAAATATATTATTTTCAAGATTAAAGAAATGATTCAAAATTAAATAAAAATCTTCTTTGTTTTGATTTTATACTTTTTTGTAAATTTACTTATTTTATTAAAAAAAATTACAATAAACTAGGTAGGGGGGATTTAAAAGTTTTAATCAAGAACTAAGTTTATCTCAACATACCATTTTTGTCTTTTCTTATTTGATGATAGACAATTTCCACTACTACTGTATTTCACTCACTCTTTTTTATTATCCCACCTAATCATTTACTTGTGATGTTATTACAGGAAACTTTCGAGTCAGTGAGTTACTATGGCTGAACGTTGGCTGAACATCGTAGTTCTACTGATAGAGATTACTAAATAGATAAGTATTACAATCATGTGATGAAAATTTTTATATTGAGTAGATATTATTAGAAATTTATTGTTTTAATCACGGAATATATATAGCCTACTGTCTGATATAGATTAATCCTTGAACTAAAATATAAAATTATAGTTGAGATTGTTCAGGGTCAGGTGTTAACTACAGTAAACTTATTTCATGCCACTGTCATTATCACGATTACATGTCTTCTCTATATTTTGTTATCATCGGAGACATTTAAAAGAAAAAATAAACAATAAATAAACAAATCATAGCTACACAAAACAACAACAAATGCACAAATTTAAGTTACAATCATTGAAAATAACAGTAATTAAACACTTGAGATCCAGTGCTTGGTCTATCATATCAATGCCGTTTGTCATTTACAGTGATTCTCAGACAGATGCCTAGTGTCATGTACAACTTAAACTTATAGTGAAGTACCAATTATTGGGAAACTATATTTTGAGTTAGTACATGCCTAGAAGACCAGGGTCCCAGTGGAAAATACACAAAAAAAAAGTCAGTACCTTGATGTTGGACCGCCTAAATGGCCAGTACATGCAGTGGGAAGACTTTAAAGTGTGTTAGTACACGCCTGTGTCTTTTGCTATACTCTGTGAATCACTGTTAATGACAAACTGAATTGATTACATAGACCCAGCAAAATTACATATTTATTTTCTGTATTAGGCCTACTTAAAGATATTACTATTATGTTTTCATTGTCCATTACACTGCAAACTGAGTTTTTAACTCATCAACCAAATAATATTAAATGTTAAATGCAATAATTTTAATGTCAATGACTACATTCTTTATATAGGAGTTCATTAAGTTGTATACAATTAAACCTTGAAAATAATGATTTATCTTTACCTTGTGTGTTTATAGATCTGGGTGCAATTTCTATACATTTCTTCATTGAATATGGAGAACACTTCAATTCTTACCTAGGCAGCATGATGTACAGAGTCTGTGATAGACATCTACAACCTGTCAACTCACCAGATTCATCTGTAAGTAATTTTTATTCAAATTTAAAAATAGTAATTGATTAATATAACATGACATCTTCAACATACAGTAAAACTGCAGCATTAATCAATTATAGTACTTGATTAGGGATAATGTTAGACTTTTTAGTTATGTTAGGGGCAGTTTGGGAGCTCAAGCCTAGCTAATATGTGCCTAGTGTTAAACATACCTAACTTTAGTCCCCGGACAAGAAACCAGGCTTGGGAGCTCATGTCTAAGTTGAAATGGTCATAGATCATAGTCATGACTAAGTTACAGCGCAGCTAGATGGACAGGGAATCGTGGGGAATTTAGGTTTTGATGTTGGTAATGGCCACTGCAGAGCATATTACTGTTGACAACAACAAATGATGAACAATTGAAGATGGATACAATTTTATCTTGGTATATCAACGGTGGCTAATTAGTAGACTATGGTTTAAGTTTCTGCATTATACCATTGCAAAAATTTAGTTTTGTAAGATCATTGATTTACATCTCAATGATGGCTATGTTTTATCTCTGGTACTACACCTTATAAATATGTACAGAGTAGCATAGGCTTCTGAAAATCAATATGATTTCTTTCAGAGATCAAAAACATTAGGTAGCCTAATCATTTAACAAAGATTACTCAGTGTGTGGAACAGTAACATCTGAAACTCGGTTTCATGCAATAAAAAGTTTTAAAATTAAACAGCAATTTCCCTGTATAATATATAGGTATTGACAGAAATAAAATAAAAAATATTTTGTAATTGCGGAGGTTATGATAATATGAAGCAAATGTATATCTGTTAATACTTACAAAAGAATTGTTGTAAATTAAAAAAAAATTTAACATGACACTCTTTTATTTAACTTCCCTATAGTGAAGTAGCTATTACCATAGGCAGCACTTAGTTCCGGGACCAATATACTTTTCCATTTTGATGTCCCTAGAGGCCAAAAACATTTCCTATTCATTCATCCCTATTTGTTCAAGTGTTTATATATGTATAGCCTATATATTATATACACGTCCATAAATGTGACAAATTGAGTAATTTTTGTCTGATTTTGATAAAATTTGGCATGAAAGTGTTAGGCATGATAAACCCTAATAATTTCACAAACCAGCATGATCAGATCATGGAAACCCGAGGTTTTATGGGATGAAAATAGTTTTTTTCTCAATTTTAACCCCTAAAACATAAATCTTTATCTTTAAAATATTTTAAAGAGTATAAAAAACAAATATTGAATAGTTTGGATTACAGAACATATTGTTGTTTACATAGCAAAGCTAGGGAAAAGTGAAAATTGTTTTATAAAGTAAAATACAGTGGTTATTTAATACAGTATTAAACATAAGGAATAAACAGTAGGCCTACTATAAATTACAATTTAAATAACTACAGTGCATATATCAATAAATACAGTATACATACAATAAAAAACTACTGTACTGTGTATAGAGTACAGCAATGAAGCATTCAGATTAGTGGATGTTCAGATTACAGGGGTTTGGATTAAAGAGGTTCTACTGTATCTTAAAATGTTTTGTATGGTTATTGGCTACAAAGACTATTCAAAAAATTTTTAATATAAAATTCCCATGTGATTCTCATGGAGAATAAGTTAACTGTTGTAGTTTTGTAGTTTATGGATATATTTTGATGAATCTTGGCAAATTTATTTATTTTATATAAAACTGTTAATATTTTGGTAAAAAACACTTTATTGCCCTCCCTGTAGTAGTATACCTACACATAGGTAGTTTTAGTTACTTGTTAAACCTAAAGCTATTTAAATAAATTTAATTGAAAGTCTTATTAGGTTATTGGATATTCACTTAATCTTTAGGTTTTCTGTGGTGGGAATATTGATTTACTGTACCAGTATATATTTTTTTATACTTCAAATAATCTAGGTACTACATTTTGATGTAACTAGTACTTGTCAATGACACTGAACTGAGCTCAATCACAACACAATTAAAAGTTAATTATTATGACTGTAAGCTATTTGCAGTTTTTTATATTTTGTTTATTATCTCTTCAATCTTTTGTAAGGGATGAGTGGGGGGGGGTATGTGTGGTTGCTAATTTTTTCCTAGCTAATAAAATATTTATAATTAAGGTATGGATGCTTATAACCAAATCTCATTTGAAATAAATTCTATTCAGGCTCTATATTTTTATTGAAGTTAACAGTAAAAACAAAAACAAAATAATATTTCATTAAATTACTTCATGCAAGATTTTCTTTTATTTTGAACAAGAGAAACCTAAAAAAAAACTTTTATCAAATATACTTTAAGGGTAATGAAATTATTCAGAATTTAATAACAAATTCCAATATAACATTCTTTTACTTAATATGTAAACAACTAACTTGTTAATGAGGTAATACCAGCATGATATTAACTTAAACCTACCCCCTGGTAGGACTAAAGTTGGGGACTAATCTCACTGATTTTTATAACGAAAACATATCTCTTAGTTCTGAAATTGGTCTCCCAAACCCACCGAGACTATCTCTTAGACTAGCGCCTAAGTCTACTTGACTCCCAAATCAACAATATTTAGGCACATGATTATCCTTGTACAAGTTAGGTGCATGTCTAACTGAAATTGAGCTTACAAACCTGTTTTCAAGGCAGCAGCCTAAAATGCCAGAAATATCTGGATTTAGTCACAGACTAGCACTAATACCAAGCTCTTAAACCACCCCTTAAAGTTGAAATAAATTATTTTCAAGATTAAAGAAACTATTCAAAATTAGACAACAGGTTTGCTGAGATTATTAAGCTTTTAATCATTAATTTATCTTGAGAAAGTTTCCAGATGAGGTTCATTAAGTCCAAAAGTAAAATATTAAATAAGCATAGTAATCTTATCTGAAAAAATTATCAACAAAAACCACATATTAGTTATATATATGGTGTACAGTTTACCTTACATCTAATTATACTATAATTTTTTTTAAGATTTTACTATTTGTCTAGTCATCATAGGATAGAAACCCTTAACTTAAACACTTACCTATTATTCTATAATTGCCACAATTTTAATGTAAAGAATTGCCTTACATATGCATATGGATGTTTAAACACTGATATATTGAAACATAGAAATTAGCTAACTCAGGAACTTTCTAACTCTGGAACTGGCTAACCATCTCAGTCAAGAATTGGCTAAATCCAGAACCTGCTAACTCAATTTTGTCTTGTAATGGAATTCACTAACTCTGGAAGCTGCTAACCTGGCCATGCCCACTGCATGGAGCATTGCCAACCTTGTATGATGAAATAATGAAATGTATTTTTTATTTAACTGTACAACGGCCAATTAAATATTTATGATTTTGATTTTTAGTATAAATTCCATCAGTATTATAGGAAAATAATAGAATATGAAAAATATTGAACATTGAGCTTAATTAGTACCAAATAATTAAACTTCTATGAAATTAAGCTAAAATACACACAAGTTCTCAAACATGGAAAACAAATGTAATCATAATGTTGTAATAAACCAAAACTATTAATTAATACAGTCATCAACTATCTTAACTTTCATAACTAATTCATAGATTTAAAATTAAAAGTTTAACGTTGAATCATCCAACTTACATGTAAAAATATAACATAGACTACGTTTCACTGTCTATGTTATGTATAGTCCCGGGTCCAAGCCATCCAACCTTGTTAAACAAAAGCAGCCAGTTATGAGTCTAGTGTTTGACGGAGAACATTATTACTTGCTGAGCATGGTCTGTAAATACAATAGAAATCTGTTTTTGCAACCGCTCTTTAGTTTGGGTGCACTCAGATTTTTTGCAGATTTTTAAGTTCACACTTGCCTTTATATTAGGTTTGCACTTGTATTTAGTCATGTTTAGACTTTTTATGTATTTAAATGTTTGTTTTTTAGATTAAATTTTGTAAATGTGTAAATTGTTTTTTAGGTTGGTTATAAATTTCCTCGTAAAATCCCCATCTGGCAATCTCAAAAATCTACTTTTTGTCCCATCTTTTTCCCTCCATTTGACAATACAATTCCAATGGGACTAACTATGTTCCAAGCAGTGCTGCTATCTGTGGGTATTTAGCAAACTATGTCAACTCTCATTGTAAAGCAGGACATCACCACATGTTATTTGCAATTCATCAGACCAAAATTAAAAAGCCAATTCTATGCGGCAATCGGGCTTGTTCTACACTGAGGGCAGCGCTGCACTGGGGATATACCCGCCATTTGACGTGCCATAGCAAATGTGTTAAAACACCATTTAACTAAATAAAACATTCTAATTATAACTAATAACACATCCCCTAGTTATATAATCAAAAAATAAAGAACAAATCATGAAGTTAACTATAAAATAATAGAAACATAATTTCATCAGCACTAGTAATCAGTGTCACTAGACATAACCTAGACAAGAAAAACAAGCTTCAAATTTTACAATGGGATGTAAAGTTTACTTGTGTTGGTTAGTCTATGGTAAAACTGTAATACATTTTCCATCCTAATTATAAAAATAATATTAAATATACTTCTAAATATATTTATTTTATTGACTATGTTACTCTTACTCCTAATTATTTATAGGATACAGCATTATGATACTGATACAATCATAGGTACTACACTTTTGACAACACTGGCCAAAAATTTTCATGCTTAGCTCCTATTGGATGGTGCATGAGGCTTCTAATTAGGAGTTAGTGAGTTTCACTGAGATACTGAGTTAGCAGTTTCTATTGAGGATAGAATTCACTAACCTAGCTCTAGAGTGGGTTAGTGGGTTCTGGAGTTAGCTAATTCCAAAACTGAACAAGTTCTCATCAACCAAATTTAAAGATAGAGCATTTAATATGGGGTTAGTGAGTTCTAGAGTTAACTATTTGAATCAAAGAAAGTAGAAATACTAAGACACTTTCTAGCAACTAAAAATTATAAATTAATATGTGATTTAAAATTAACTAAATTGTCAAATTCTTAAACACACAATG